CCACGGGTTTCCCATCACCAAATCACCCCTGTGCCACCTCCATAGTCCCGTGCATTTCCCTCCCTTCCCCCCCCCCTTAGATGAATTTTTTTTTTAAGGATTTATTTATTTAAGGATTTTTATTTATTACAGGCCGAGGTGGCGAGAGGCTTCACCAGAGACAGTGGGAAGCAGAACAGGCAGATCGACAAAGTACACTGCTGAGAGGAGCAGCGGGCGGGTCAGGAGAGGTCTGTTGTGCCATGTGGTCACCTCCAGGGCAGGCGGGGATCGAACTCATGCGGAAGTGGCTTTAGCTTCTTAGTGTAGCGCTTTAACCTGCTGCGCCACCAGGGAGGGCCAGAATTTTTTTTTTTTTTAGAAAATACAAAATTTGGGCCCTCCCTGGTGGCACAACAGGCAACAGGTTAGAGCGAAGCACTGCAAAGCTGGCTGCAGCTGCCTCAGTGTGAGTTTGCTCCCCAGCCAGGGAGGTGACCCACATGGCGCAGCAAACCTCTCCTGTTGCGCCCATCGCTCCCCTCAGCAGTGTACTTCATCAATCTGCCTGCTCTGCTCCCCACTCTGTCTCCAGTGAATCCTCTCACCCCCAGCACCTCTGGCCTGCACCCCTGTTCTGTATGCATAAATAAATAAGTCTTTAAAAAAGAAAAATATGGGCCCTCCCTCAGCAGTGTACTTCCTCGATCTGCCTTTTCGCTCTGGTGAATCCTCTCACCCTCCGCATCTCTGGCCTGTACCCCAGTTCTGTATGAATAAATAAATCTTTAAAAAAAAATAGAGACTTTTTCTATGATACATAAAAAACACTTGATAATTGCCACATGCAAGCAATCTCTGCAGCCTCAACATCTGGACAGCCCTGATGCATGCCTGGGTGTGAGCCTCTCATTTTGCCAGGTTTAGGAGCTCTCTGAAAGGAGGGACCAGTTCCCCTCCCCCCCTTCCTGTTTTGACCAGCACAGGGCCTGGTCAAATGAGGACTCAAGTTATAATTGAATCAATGACCACATAGGTGAATACGATTCTATAAATGGACTTGAGAGAAAGAAACAGCTGGAAAGTCTCTGCATGATAACTCCTGTTTCTTCCTGCACAACTAGTTCCCTTGAGGCTAATGTGTCAGGTTCCTTGTTATTCATATACCAGCTGCCTTACCTCCTCAGGTCGCCCCCCACTCCATAATTTAAAGTCACTACTCAGACACTTCCGAGTAACTCGCCGTCATAATTCTTTGCAGAGCAAAATAGTCTATGTCTCCCATAAGATATAGATTAATTATAATGCATTGCCTTCTTATACAAGAATAAAGGTTTTGTAAAAGCAGGAACATTGTCTGGCTCTCCTCACTGGAGTATATTCAGCACAAATGAGCAGATTAGTATTTTTTGAATCAATAAATAACTCATCAAAAACAAACCTCCCCTTGGCTCCTGGTCTCTTACTAAAGATTTAGGAAGGAAAGAGAAGGTTTCAGTGACAGAAGAGAACATTTAGAGTCCAGAGGAATCTGTGGGATTTCCATTAGGAACACAGGTGACAGAGTAACTTAAAATTGCTTTTACTAAAGTAGAAAAGATAGCAACAATATTATATATATTATTATTTATAGTATATACATGCTGTATGTGTGAAGTAGAACAGTGATATGAATAAGTACCCAGCTTAAGAAATTTATAGATTATCTTCAGTAATATAAGTTTATTACAAAGGTTCAAAGTCACAAGCGATAGCACGGAACATCATTTCCTCCCTAGCCAGATTATTACTTGGAGTCCCAGAAGGTCAGACCCAACTGTCAAGAGGCCTCACGAGAGATGGAAAATAACTTAATGTTTTAATTGTCTGTGTTCTTTCTTTTAGCTGCCATATCCTCATCCCAGGAGAGTGTGAGCAAGACAAAAGCCACCACAGTTGCAGTCCTGAGAAGCAGGCTCGGAAACCCAAGAGAATAGACACAGACCCTGTGTGGGCTGTGGGGAAATCAGCTTTATGCCAACAGTTGGAAAAGGACTGACCAGCTGAATGGAGGCTCAGTTCTTGAGGCAGGAGGTTCTCTGAGAAGGGTGGATGGTAATGTAGCCTGGGCAGCTTCGGTGTGTTGATATTTTTCAATCATCTTTTACAGCTTTATTGACTGCTGGGTCCTATAAGAGGGACTGCAGATGGCTTGTGCTTGGAAACAAATTGAGGGGGTTGGGGGTATTTAGCGTGACAGCTAGCTGGCCTACACCAGCTTCCCCAGAATATGAGACAGGTTCTCTGGAGTATAGGGTGTTCTCAAGCCTGGGCTATTCTAAGAGGCTTCTGATTCAGCCCTCTCCACTTACATAGAAATAGCCTTCCAAGAGAAGGGAGGGACCACAGCAGTCACAAATCCCTTTCCTCTGGGAGAGAGCTGAGCTTTGTCCTCAAGGATACTCTCCCTGCCAAACAGGAAGCTGCACTTAATTGCCACAGGCTATACTGGTTTGCTCTGAGCCCATACTTCCTGGTGTGGAGGCTTTGGGCCATCACTGACACTGGCCTGCATGGACAGCGCTTAGAGGGCCCACCTCAGGGGCCTGCCCTGAAGCTTGCTGCTTTCTATTGCCTCCTCTAACACCCAAGGGCCCACCTGGCCACAAAGCTTGCTTGTTAATACAGGGGAGTGAACTCCCCTGCAGGCAACACCCAAGCAGTTTACCTGCTTCTCAGGGAGCCCCGAAGCACTGCCTATAGGAGTGACCTCTGTAATGTACCCTTTTAATGGTGTTGCTCCCTTCCTGTGTCACTCGCTCAACTGCCTTCATCCTGCCTCATGAGATCATCTCCCAAATAACTGACCTGGGCCTAGGGCCCTGTTTCAGCCTCTGCTTTCGGGGAGGCCCACACTGAAACATTTCAGGGAGAGCCAGGCACTTTGTGAGGGCAACTGCCCTCCCACTTCAGCTGATGGTTGCCATGTTGTTCTGGCAGCCCAAAAACCATTTTAATATCTAGAATTTTATATCTTCTATGTGTTGCTTTGTTACTGGACTTTTTCCTCCACATCTGGAACTTCTATTTATATTAGGTGGTCAGGTACATGAAATGACTCAGTATGGCCTTTTCATCTGTCTATCAGCAGTTGGACCAATTTTTGGATATCAGTTGTATTTTAAGTAATGATTTCATTTTAAAACATAAAATTCTCATTGTGCGGTGGGGGGGCAAGAAAAATTTTAAAACATCGCATAGCCACCAACATAGCTGCTGTCCAGGTCAGGCTCATGAGCAGCACATCTGGCCTGGAGTACAGACACCAAGCCCACCAATAGTGGAAGCAGGAGTCCAACTATAAACTAGCACTGTGAATGGGTGAGAGAGCAATGAACAGGTTTCCTTCCAGACCTGAGGCCTAAAAAGGGCCAGGTTCTCAGACACCCCAGTAGAACTAACACACACTGAGTGTTGACCTTGTGCCCACTTACCATCAGCTCAACTTCATGACCCCAGGAGGCACATATACTTTCATTACCCCCTTCTAGAGGTGAGAAAGCAGCTCTAAGGTTAAGTAATAGACCTGAAGTTCAGCGTGAAGTCTCTCTTCACTACTGACACATCAGAGCATCCCAGGGTTACAACTCCTGATGTGTAACAAAAGCAATCAGGAACCGAGGTGCTAATTTTGAATTCACTTATGACTGTCTTTGCCTCTTTTTATAGAGAAGTCTCAAAGAGGCAAAGTTCTTTATAAAACATGCTAATAACGGCAGGAGGAAAGACAGCATTAGATCACCATTATGCCATCCTTGATGAAATCAAAGTTGGGTAGATATTAAGTAAAAGGCTAGTGGGAGTTTGAAAATAAATCAGATCTTCTCCATGTGATGAAATAGCAAGTACCTATAGCCTCCTACAATGTATTCCTGACAAAAACAAACAGAAACCAACAACAGAACAAAACCAGAGTCAAGCCTCTAGGTCGACTGGCTAATGAGAAAATGAGCAATAATGGGACATGGCATTGCAGCAGGGGGATACAACTAGGATATTCAACTAGAATATTAGCCACCCTAGAGCGTATCACCTCATTTGCTTGTTTTTTAACAAATGGCAAAGGAAAGAAAGAAGCAACGATTAAGCATTTTTAAAGATTTAAGGGACGTTGGTAAAATATGTGACCCTTGTTTGGATCCTGATTCAGATATATCAACAGAAGGTATTTTGGGCTAAATGAAGGAAAGTGAAAATCAACTGGATTCATGAAATGATACTCCAAAGTATGACACATTGGCATATTAAATATTTTAACTTGAAGGAATTTCAAGAAAGGGCAGGTGCTAAGACTGTGCTGCCTTTGACAAGCAGATAGTAAGACCCTTGCAAGGTGCCCTCCCTGCAGCTAGAGGAAAGGAGAATATCTCTGAAGACAGGACACTAATGAAACGCCCTTGCTAAATTTCCTCTATTTTACCACCTGTCTGTCCTGTCACATTTCTATGACTTTCCACTTTTCATCAAAGTGAGTATAAAGACACTCAGGTTTGGAGTTGACAACCTCTTCATCTAACTTGCTGTTCTTCTCAGCAGTATAGTCAAAAAATCCGCCTTTCCTATTCTCCGCTCTGTCTCTGGTGAATTCTTTTACCCACTCCAACCCCCTTCCAGCCCCTCTCCCCTCACCAAATAAAGCCAAATACCTCCACTCCAGTTTAACTGCTTCTTTGGGTCTTCATTTCATTAGGAAGGTTCCCGTATCAATTAAATTTGTATTAAATAATTGTATGCTCTCCTTTAGCTCATGTGATTTTTGTTATAAAGCCCTGATTACGAACCTTAAAAAAGTAGATGGAAAGGTATTTTTCCTTCCCTATATCATCTATTAGATGACCTTGGATGATAATTAGGAATCACTATTGATTTTGTTGGTAATAATAATGGTATGATTGCTATATATATTTTTAAAGTCCTTACTTTTTCTGGAACACCAATGAAACATTATCTGAAAATAACCATACCACCACATCAGTTTTTCATGGAAAGGCACGCTTTATTTTAAAGCAGCCTGACAGAGAAGTCAGGGCATCTACAACTATAAACCAGTGGGAGGGAGCACAGGTTAGAGGTCGACCTGGCAGGGTCTCAGTCGGGAGGTGTTTCAATTCTTGTTGATGGGCCAACAACTGATCAGTTTCTTTTCAGGTTGAAACTAAAAAGCTTCACAATGCCCATGATGTATTTGATATCCAGTATGCCTATTTCAGGAAACAGGACAACTGGAGGGACTCCACTTAATTTTAAATTTACATTGAGAACTGTTAATTTAGTAGTTTTTTCGCCCATGTTCCTAAGAGTCACAAAGGTTTTATTTGTGTTTTTAAGCCCTCCATTTCATAGGAAATGGATTATTTTCACTTAGTCCTCATACTTGTCAACTGGAATTATTCCACTGTTTTTGTGGCACTGGCTGGGCTGGCATCTGCGATGGTAGCCAAATAAATGAGATTTCTATGTAACACATGCTGGTACCTATGAGTGAAAAACAGCAAAAATTAGATGACTGCTTTTACCAAAGATGATGAAAAAACTGAGAATTTACCCATTGCAGTAGAATGATTCATTCATTGATTGGGTGATTCAGTAATCATCAACCAGCCTTCTTGTTTAATACATACAAAGTAAATATCTCCAGAATCTTACCTGTTCTCAGTGATCATTTCCACAGTTACTTCTCAAGGTCAAACCACCATCACTTCTTGCTTAGACTATTGTACTGGACCAGTCTAACTGGTCTCCTTCTTCTACCTCTACACCTCTATTCTATTCTCCACAGCAGCATAAGTGATCATTATGCAATTAAATCAAGACCATATCTTACCTCTATTTAAAATCCTCCAAAGGCTCTATCTTATTCTGATAAAGCTGAACCAGTCTCATGGCCTATAAGCCTCTAAGTGATTAAGGCCTCTAGTTACTTTTTTGATCTCATTTCCCAATACTTTCTTTTTACTCAGAGTTCTGGCCACAGTGTGTTAAAGATATCTAGCACACTCTTCCCTGGAGACTTATGAACTTAATGCTCACCTCATCTACCTGCATATCTGCTCCCTTACCTCAGGTGTCTACTCAAATGTCACATTAGGGATACTTGTCTAACACAGCACCCCATCCACACACTTATATTGCCTTAGTCTTATCTTAAGAACTTAAGAATATTTCCTTTCCTTCTTGTAGATTCTAGAGGTCCATAAGAGTAGAGCTGGGATCTATTTTGGTGTTGATTCTCTAGTCACCGAAACTGCTTGGTACTCAGTAGTACTTACAAAATACCTATTGAACAAACTTAAATAGGGATGAAACACTCTCATGATCAATGTGAGCTTACTACACTCCAAGTCTCCATCAGGGATAGTTTCCCACCAGCAGGCAATCAACTAGGAGTGTGGGAGTACAGCTGGTGTAATCTGAAAAAGCCTATTAGATTCTGATAACTTTCCTACCCACAGGGTGAGATTCACTGCATCAAATGGAATATTTTGCAACTAGCTTCTATACAACTATATGATTGAGAAAGTATTTACTATAAACTGGAAAAGCAAATCACCAAATTCCAGAGTCAAGATTTTCCCAAAGACCAATCACATTATTTCACTGAGTTGTTCAGTGAAAAGTAAAGACTTTCCCAAAGACCAGTCACATTATTTCAGAGTTGTTCAGTGAAAGATTATAGATGATTTTAGGGGTGGAGATTGCATAGCTTTCTTAAACATGTTTTAGTGACAATGAAACACACTATCCTATAACAGATGGAGAATAACTCCTAGACTACATTTAGAAAACAGTCTGATTCTATTTTCTCTAATTTTGGCATATGTCTAGAGACCACATTAATTTACTGTCCAGATTTTACCTTTGGCTTAACTTGGAAATATTTTACTGGTCTTTGTGTGTGTTACTGACAAGCTGCAAGTTAGACATAGGAAAACTAGTGGTCAAATTTAACAGAAAAAGCGTGCAGCCTCACTAAGAAGAAAAAGGATGGGCCAGGGACCCATGACGAGAAAGTAGCCACTGTTCTCTCATCTCCTGAAACTAGTTTGGCATGTGGTCCCCACACCACCCCTGTTGTCACAGCTGCTATGGCTTCATGTGACAGAGGCTTTGCAATGAGCATATTTCAAGTTCTGACGAAGCTTCACGATCTACAAGTTGCATGGTGTTGGACAGGTAAGTAATCTCTCAATCTCATCTGGGGCCAATCCAAGATTCCATACTCAGGACAGCTCCTGTGTCTCCACACTTGTTCTTCTCAAGTCAAGAGTCGGGGGAGGGGACTTACTGGACACACTCGTTTGCTCGACCCTTGTTCTGATACTCCACGATACAGCGGATCAATTGGTCATTCTCCTCCAGGAGCTGTGAGATCAGACAAAGGGCCAATCCAATGCAACATCGCGACGGCTGGAAACACCAGGTCACCTACTCCCCACCGCCTCCTCTCCCAGCCAGCCAGCCAGCCAGCCAATCAGGCCCCACTGGTTTTGCAGACTACATTCCATCTCACCCCGCAGCTTGCAGGTCAACATCTGCAGACACTACCAGTCTCAGTTGGGTTGCCGCTCACTGAGGCAGTATCTTGCACTCCGCAACCCTGGGGGATCTCTGCTAAGGAACCCCTTTTGTCTGCCCGTTTTGGAGCTCACCCGCTGGATAGTCTCCTGATTGACTTCCGCCCTGCCTCTCATCCAGTTGGGGACGAAAGCCACCGACATCCCGCGAAGACTCCGGGGACCCGGGGAAACTGACCCAGCAACTCCTGACGCACTACCGCCTCCGCGCGTTCGCGGTCGATGTTGATTGGGTCTCTCGCGCAGAGGGCGGGGTACGCGAAGAACGTCATTTGCGATTGGGCGCGCAAGAGAGCTGTTTCTCCAGGAGCCCCGCCCCTAGGACGCAAAGGCTGTCTCTGCACTCTTTGCATTTGCGCACCGGGAACGCTCGTCTCGGGGCGGGGCCGGCGTCAGCTGGTCGCTACCCGAGCACGGAGCGCGTTCAACCAGCAGGAGCGCTTTGTCAGAGATCACTGGGGAGTCCTGACTGGAACCCAGATAACTGGCTCCAAGTCATCTCCTCTTTCGCCATCATCCCGCTGTCAACATCTGGAGTTTGAGCCCTGTCCACAGCTTCCCGCTGAACCAAATCCTGCAGTAGCGGAGGAAAACGCTGATGTCAGCTTTACTCTGCTGAGGGAGAAACTCACATAAAATACCCATTTTTTTCCTTTGGGTAATAAAAATGCGTACTAGGGGGCCCTCCCTGGTGGTGCAATGGGATGTTGAGTTCAATCCCCTGTCCCGTAGGTGACCCACATGCCGCGCCAGACCTCTCCTGTCTCTCCCGCTGCTCCACTCAGCAGTGTACTTTGTCCATATGCCTGTTCTGCACTGTCTCAGCACCTCTGACCTGTACCCCAGTTCTGTATGCATTCATAAGTAAATCTTCAAAAAAAAAAACTTACTCAATAAGACACTTTCTGCATCTTACACATAAGAAAACAAATTAAATAGCCTCTCCAAGTTACTTAGAGTGGAACCAGTCTCTGAATACAAAGAGTGTGGCTTTCCAACCCTCACTCTTGACAGGTACTCTATGCACCATACTGCAGATGTGGTTTGCTACCAGATACAGGGAGGAGCAAGCTTATTGGAGACCAGCTCCAAATTTTGAGGTGTCTGGAGGCAGGCAGCACAGGAAGGACCCTAAGATGGGAAGGCTTAGGCGAGCAGATATTCCAAAAGGGGAGAGAGGAGCGGACCCGAGGAAGACACGGGAGTCAGGATAGGGTGCAAATCAAGCTGGGTCTAGAGGCATCCAAAAGCTGGGTTACTGCTGGCAACTGCTGGCACCACTAAACTCTGAAGTGTGTGTCTTCTTTCTTGTTCAGCCCATCCAAGGTGGCTGAGGGGACAAAGATGGCTTTTGCTGTAGCACAGAGTACTTAGTCTTTGCTTAATTTAGGAGGGATATCTTGGAAGCCTTTACTCCCTAAAAGGGTATTGGGGGGGGCAGGAATTCTTCCATCTAGAGGTTTGTGACCCTGATCCAGAGAAGGTTCATCTTCTTAATGCAACTCTGTGGGGAGGCAGCTTTCATCCCATTTCAGAATGGCAAATCCAATGAGAAAACATTGCAAGAGTTATGCCCAGAGCTCAGCGCTTCCTGGTTCCCAAACCAGTTCTGTTTACTCCATACTATAATGGAGGATAAGCCCCTGAAATTTCTGCAGAAAACAGAGTGGGCAGAGGAGAAACTGTCAGAGCAGGGTGCAGGCCCTGCTTAGTCTTTAATGGACCTTATTGGTCTTATTTCTATTAAGATAAATAAGATAGTGCTAAGGTGGGGCAGGTGGAGGGGACCAATCTGGTCCATCATTTAGAATAAGCCCTTTAGGGGAACAGATATTTCACTATGAAAAGGAAGTAAAGGTTAAGCAGGTGACAGGTCTCTGGGGTCTGGACCCTTGCATTGCAGCAATGGGAGCCGATGGGTTTAGGTAGAGGAGTGATGAAGTCAGAATCGTCTTTTACAGTTTTTCTGGGCTATAATGTGATGAAAAGCAGCCAGAGGAGAAGTGACAAGAACCCTGAGGATGCTGCAAATCTCTTACCCAGGCAAGAGATGGTGGGAGCAGCAAAAAGAAATATGTGTGCAGTGGAAGATAGTAGTGGCAGACTTGCCAGGCCTTAGTGACTAAATGGCATAAGGGAGAAGGAAGATTTAGGGGTGACATCTTGAGTTCTGGCTTGGGCAACTGAGAGACCAGTGATGCCATTTATGGAGGTAGAGCACAATGGAGGAGAAATTTGACTGGTAGTGGCAATGATCATTTTAACTGTGGACAGGTACAGTTTGAGGTAATATCAAGTGGAGTTTTCAAAGACTGTGGCTAGCTAGACTAACAGAAAGCAGGACTTCAAAATAACATACTTTTGTTCAACATCAGTCCACATTTTCTCCCACCCCCCCAGAGGTTTTATAACTAAACTGCATGGAACCAAGTCAAAGCCAAGGGACCTTTGTTTGAGGATCGTTGTACATACTGTTCCCTCTGTGATATTCTTCTCCCCTAATAGTCTAGTCAGCTACTATTCAGCTAATGTTCACTTCTCAGAGAAACCCCCCTCTAATACCCAGATCCAGGTCAGAAGCTTCTAAAAATTCTCTCTAGGGCCCTCCCTGGTGGTGCAGCGGGTTAAACACAGCACTAAGAGCTAAAGTCACTTCAGCATCCTTGCTCGGGAGCTGACCCACAGGGAGCGGCAGACCTCTCCTGACCCGCTGCTCCCCTCAGCAGTGTACTTGTCAGTCTGCCTGTCCTGCTCCCCTGCTCTCTGGTGAAGCCTCTCGCCGCCCTTGCACCTCTGGCCTGTACCCAAGTTCTGTATGCATAAATAAATAAAAATCTTAAAAAAAATTGTCTCTCAAAACTTGCCCCTCTCTGAAGAGCACATATCTCGGTTCGTACTTAAACTAGACAGACTGTCTTTCTCAATCTTCTTCCACTAGTCATCCTTTTGAGAGCCTTGGCCCCCAACCTGGGTGGGTCTCCGGGAGGGTCGGACTTCGGCACTACATCCAGGCTGGCAGGAGGCTGTGCTCTTTGGTTTGTCTATCTTGGATCTCCCGCCCAGCCGTGCGGACCGCGGAACACACGCCCCGGGTGTGTCGCGCCGTCACGCGGAGCCTCCCAGCCTCCTCCCGTCAGTTCAGTCTACCACTACGACCATAATCGAGTTTAGACCTCGAAGCCTCCGCGAACCTCCGGACGTGGGACTCACCGGCCTGAATCTCAGACCCACGCGGGTAAGAGGCGACAGAAGGGAAGAAAGTGGCGGGCGCGGTACGCAGCCACACCGGGCAACATCTGGGTCTCAGCCCTTTAAGGGTCGCTCCCGACCCCGCCGCGCTGGGACCCGGCGGCAACAGAGCTCCAGGATTGGTTGGTCCTGGTGCGGGTGTCGCTTAGCAGCAGCGAATGAGGGTTCAAGACTCGCGCGTGCGCACTATCGGCTACCTGCGCCCAGGCCGCCAGTGACTGGGCCGGGTCCGCTGGGTGGGCTGAGGTTGCCGAGGCAGCGGCGGGTGGTGCAGGTGGTGCGGCGGCGCGGCCGGCCGGCGCTGACTTCCGGAGGCCGCCGTCTGGCCGAGGTGAGGGTTGGTGGGCGGAGGCGGGCGTAGCGGCCCGTTACCAGAGAGCAGTCAGGGCTGGGTGTGGCGCAAGGGCGGGCCTGAAGGTGGAGGCGGACGCGGGCCAGCTCCGCCCACGGGCCCGGCCTCCCACCTTGGGATTCTTGGGGCTTCCGGGAGTTTTCTATCCCCCCCCCCCCTTTCTTCAGTCGGCTGCTCCCGGGATCCTGGGACGCTCAGTAGAGTGCGCTTACTGGCACCCTTAGCTGACAGATGCGCACGGGGCTCTGACCCCAGTAGGAGGAACCGGGGTGTGTCCAAACGGGGGCGGGGTGATTGATTTCCTAATTATCTGGAAACTCGCGTTCGGATAATTGCGAAACTTTTGTTTTCAAGACTTTCCGTAGCGTGCCGATATTATAAGACTCGGATTACCAGATAAAGAATGCACGGGACCAGTTCTCTGAACTTGTAGTGTGTAGGGGGTGATGTACTTTTGTGTCCATTGACATCTAGACTTCAAAGCCAAAAGGAGTCCGGGGAAATTAGGTTTGGAAAAATTCAAAGCCACAAGATAATATTCTCAGTAGTGAAAAGTAACTGGTGAAATTTGTAATACGATCGGAAAAAAATAAAGTTCAGACCGATGAGCAGGGTAAAATCTTCATTAAATTTTATGAAGAAAGGATTAATTCTCATAACGATAAATCTTCACAAAATGTAAAGATTTTACATTTTGTAAAATCAAAATGTAGATGAAAGTGGCTTAATGGTTCTAAATAGAATTAAGTTTACCTAATAGGGTTTGCTCTCGAAAATGTATTTTGGATAATGTTATAATTCTTTGTATTTAGGGTACAGAGGCCAGCTTAGTGTCTTCAAGTTTTATTTTTAGGAGCCTCAGAGATCAACCGCATTCAAAAAGTGACTGATGTTCAAAGTGGAAATGGACTTATTCAAAATATTCCAGTAAGCAGCTATTAGGACAAGTGTGTATGTATAAATAGGTTTTTTGTTTTTGTTTTTGTTTTTACTGGTTTTAAGAGAAATAACTGTTTTAGAAAAATAGAGTAGTTGTAATTCCAAGATTGGATTTAGAGAAGTAATAGTGGAAAGATCATAGATTTTTGAATATTTCATTTTGAGTAAGGAAGTTTGAGTTTGAATCTTGTCTCTACTTCTTGAGTCTTGGAGCTACTGATTCTCCACTTCCCAGTGTGGATTTAGTTTATACCTACCTCACAGGTAGTTAGATACTCAAAGTGACATCAATATAAAAGTTCTAGCACAGTGCCTGGCATATATTAATTACTATCAAATTTAGTTCCCTGCTCTTCTTAGCTTCTAATAAATGACAGAATTGATTTAGACCCTCCTGCTTACCATATCCCCAATGTGAGACAAAGTAGCCTAGGTGATCCATAATTTAGGTAACCAGTTCTCGAGTCTCATAGGTGAAGGAGAATTCAATAAAAGCAACAACTCAATTTTGTCTCCTGTATTTGAGTGGGCGATATATTAATGTGACATGTGTCTGAATATTTGTATGCCAAATGAAATTTGCTTTGCTATTTTGTGAGATCTGGTCATTTAATGCTGTTTTTCTTTTCCCTTTTCTCTGGCTCTTTTGGAGAGAGGAGGGGTGTACCTGGGAGCTGGGAGAGAGTTTAAAGAACAAGGGTGACCTCCAGCTATGCATAGTGCCATAGACTAGGGATAATCTATGATATGAGCAGTTTATAAATAGATGAGTAATTTGTAAATCTGGGAAGAGGATTTAGAGAATAAGGGATGCATGTTAAAATAGAATTTTTATAAAATCTAGTAACTCTTGTGCTGTATATTTGATTACTACTTCAGTTTCTACTTTAAAAAAATTCCATCTATAAAATCTTGTTTGTGCTCTCCAAGTGAGATTTATTATTGAAAATGTTCAAAATATAGATTATGGCAAGGAATCTGCAAACTTACATTCCTGTTTTAGTGAGTAAAAATAAGTCTGCTTTTGGGCTCTCATTATTGTGACCAAAGTGCTTCCTAATGTGCTCACCATGGTTCTGGGTGATAAGGCCCACTGACCTGTGGAAGGAGCTGGTAAGACTTAGAAGACAAACTAGTATCTGTGTGCACACTTTGGGCCTGCCTTTGTAGTTGTGTAATTATATTATTTCTTTTGTTGTGGCATGATTTTCCAGATTCATCTTACTGCTTTATTTTATTATTATTATTTTTATTTATGTATACAAGAACCAGGGTACAGGCCAGATGTGTATATTGGGTGTGTGTGTGTGAGAGGATTCATCAGAGACAAAATGGGGAACAGGCAGATTGACTGAAATACTCTGCAGAGAGGAGCAGCAGACAAGTCAGGAGAAGTCTGCCATGCCATGTGGGTCACTACCCTGGCTGGGAATTGAACTTGTGCTGTAGTGGTTGTGGATGGCTTCACAGTGCTGTGCTTTAACCATTTGTGCCAATCAGGAGGACCTTCATCTTACTACTTTAAACCAAATACTAGTTACCTACAAGCATCTTTTATGTTAATCAATCTTGAGAGTCATTAAATTCACTCCAAACCTTCCAGTTTGGAAATATCATGTAATTGTGAAGCTGCTCACTACAAACCATGCCCTTCAGCACTTATGCATAAGCCATCAGAATTACTGTTGATAAGCAGAAAAGATTGTTCTACCAGTGGAGAGATTAAAAAATTACCATTTAAGCATAAAAAGTATAACTTAAGTTATACTTAAGGGGTACAAGGACCCTAAGTTATTATCTTTTTTCAGCTTTTATTTTAAACTAATTATTGTCACAGGAACTTGGCTATAAAGATATAGAAAGGTCTTACATACCCTTTCAGAAGTTTTCCCCATTGGTTACAGAAAGAGAGACCAAATCTGTATGACCAGAGACTAAGCTTCTGTCCAACTTTATTCTTTTTCACAGTTCTTAGCGATTTCAGTTTCTTTGCCTTTCCATATAAATTTTAGAATAATCTTAACCACATCTACAACTGATTCTGTTGATAGTTTAACAAGAATTGCACTAAATTTGCATATCAATTTGGGGGAGAATTGGCATCCCTACTATGCTGAGTCTTCTAATTCATGAACATGGGATAGCCTCATTTATTTAGGATTACTGTGATTTCTTTCAGCAGTGTTTGTAGTTTTCAGTATATAAGCTTTATACATATTTGGTTATAGGTATAACCTCAGTATTTTATTTTTATTTATTTTTATTTTTAAAGATTTATTCATACAGAACTGGGGTACAGGCCAGAAATGCGGAGGGTGAGAGGATTCACCAGGGACAGAGTGGGGAGCAGAACAGGCAGATCGACGAGGTACACTGCTGAGGGGAGCAGCGGGCGGGTCAGGAGAGGTCTGCCTCGCCATGTGGATCTCCTCCAGGGTAGGCGGGGATCGAACTCATGCAAAAGTGGCTTAAGCTTCTTAGTGCTGTGCTTTAACCCGCTGTGCCACCAGGGAGGGCCCTCAATATTTTATTTTTAAAAATTACTATTGAAGTAAAGTTTTGGAGTGGTTGTAAGTGGTATTTTATTTGAAATGTTCTGTGCACATTGCTAGTATACAATTGATTTTTGTATGCTGATCTTATATCCTATAGAGTTAACTGAATTTCTTTGTTCTAGGAGATTTCGTTTTTTATTTCCCCCTTAGGATTTTCCACACAGACAGCTACATCATCTGCACAGGTTTTGTTTTTGTTTTTTTTTTTCCTTTCCTAACTATATTTCTTCTTGCCTATTTTTTGTCTTTTTGCACTGGGTACAAAGTTCAGTACTGTGTTAAATAGTAGTGGAAAGACAGACATCTGCGTACCTAATTTTAAAGTGAAAATATCCAGTCTCCCACCATTAAGTGTGATGTTCCTTGTATGCTTTTTGTAGATGTCTTTTATCAAGTTGAGGAAGTTCCATTCTTTCCTGTTTTGCTGAGATTTTATCATGAATGGGTGCTGAATTCTGGCAGATGCCCATTCTGTACCAATTGATATCATTATATGCCTTTACTTGTTGAAGCATTATAAAGTCTGCCATATAAATCTGACATCTCTGTGTCTTGTGTTGGTGCCAGTTGATTGTCTCTTCTTGTAGAAGTTGAGATTTCTTGTTTCTTTGCATGGTCACTGATTTGATTGAAACCTGACATTGGTTATTACATTATGAGTCTCGGGATCTTATTTAAATCTTCAGGTTCAGTTGGCCTTTGTTGACTTCTATCACGGGGAAGTGGGGGTGCTAGCTCATTACTGCCAGGGAAGAGTTTCCCACTCAGGCTCTTTGGGCTCCTTGTAGGGAAAGACTGCTTATTATAGCTGTATGGACGGTCCTTCTCTCTCCCCAGTGGCTCACCACGTGGTCTTCTGTCATTCTACCCAAACAGGGTGAGGAAATGGGGGGAGCACCTCATTCTCACTAGTCAAGGATGATGGCTGGAGTAGACCGTTTTGTTTAAAAATTTTCTGTTTTGCTAGACTGTACCTTTCTTGATTTCTTTTTTTTTTGAGTGGATCAAATTGTTGTTGGACTTTGGTGTGTGTGCATGCCCTTGGGGTTTCTGGGTTGTCAGTTTCTCCAGCACTGAGAATGGGATGTGTGAGGCAAAAGGAAAATAGTGAATGAAGGTCTGCTGTCTGCTTGCTGTCTGCTTCTCTCCATCCCTTAGGATCACCTTATGTCTGCGTTATATACAATATCCAGGTTTTTAGTTCTTTTTAGTGGGAGGAGGAGAAAGTACCTCAAGTCCATCTTTCTGGCAGAAGTCCCGAGTTCATTCTTTTTTAGGTAGTAGTCAGATCTCTTATTTGGTTATCTCATAACCGAAATTTATAAACATCACATCCCTGTCATATACAAAGCACTGTGAAACACCCAAAGATGGATCCCTATTTATATTATTTTTTTCATCTTTTATAATACAAAGTGCATTTCCATAAAAGAAAAATTATTAAAGCTTTTGTCATCATTTAGACTCAGCCATATTAGCATGTAAAATCCTTCGGTCTTCGGGCAGCTGCCATCCTGTACATTCACACACTCAATGTACAGGAACAGAGGTAGCAGTTAAGGTCAACACTACCTTCATTTAAGCAACGTAAAAATTTTTTAAATGGATGTGGATTTTGCTAGGTTACAGTACTGTAACTTGATAGGACTGGAAAACACAGTTTGTATTTATTTTCAATGCTTCTGTTTTAGAAGCAGGTTTGATCACCAGAGGATAAAATGGGTGAAATAGAGAGCCTGGAGGGACCTCTGGGTCCCTTAAAAAGCAGTAGAACTGGTCCTTGAGATGATTATCACTTGGAAAGGTCACTGTTTTCCTTTCTAATGGTTTAACAGTACCTGGCACTTTGTCAAATCCTCTGTAAAGATAGCCATAAAGAAGATATTTGGGAGCTTACAGTTGGAATAAATGGCTACTGCTTTACCCTGAAGAGCATAATATTTACTAAACTCCCTAAAAAGTACTTCTCCTATTTCACATTGGGGTTTTGTCCTATTTCTGACTCTTCTAATATCTCTTTGCGTCATTTTTTTTTTTAGCCTGCCTTTTTTATGGTGACTTACTGTTAAGTTTATTTTTTTAAGCAAATGGCATTCCTGGAATCATCTTTATTATACTTGTCTACATGCACTGAAGAATGAGTGTAACTTCTCATTGATATACCACAGTTTTCAAGGTGGCAAGCAAGTTGAATTTCTTGTTTAGATTCTGACCTGGCCTCAAGTTGGTCTTGTGGTCTTCCCCTAATTTTGTGCCTTTTATGCTTTGTTCCCTCTAATTCTTAAAAAAACATGATTACTAAATTAAGTATTTTGAGCACTCTTAGAAATATGGAAGGTAATGAGATTAACTCTACACACCTGGCCCCCTAACTCCCATTCTCAGCTTTGGCCAGGCAGTTGGGGTACCAGTCCAGGCAACTGGCCTGGGTCTGCCTTTGGTACTGGTAACTTAGAGGTTGTTTTATTTTATTTTATTTTTGCATAGAGGAACTGGGGTTTAGGCTAGAGATGCAGAGGTGAGAGGATCACCAGAGACAGAGTGGGGACAGAACAGGGGATCTACTGAAATACACTGCTGAGGGGAGCAGTGGGCAAAATAGGAGAGATCTGTTGCGCCATCTGATACCTGCCCTGGCCGGGTATCGAACTCAGGCCATTGTGGTGCATTGATAGTGCTGAGACCTAACCCCTGGGCCACCAGGGAAATTCCAGTTAAGCAGTTTTGTTTGTGGAAGTTTTTTCCTGGTACTTCTCACATTTTTAATCCTCAGTGGAAAGTGGGGAGATGGGAAAACTAGACTCTGTAGGGGCTGTTGTTTGGTAGACTCATTTTTCTTTTTCCTTTCTCTGTGTTTTTATACTACTACTTTTTTTTTTAAGATTTATTTATTTGTGCATACAGAACTGGGGTACAGGCCAGAGGCTCAGGGGCGGTGAGAAGCTTCACCAGAGACAGAGCAGGGAACAGAACAGGCAGATCTATGAAGTACACTGCTGAGGGGGAGCAGCAGGCGGGCCAGGAGAGGTCTGTCACGCCATGTGGTCACCTCCGGGGCAGGCTGGAATCGAACTCATGCAGAAGCGGCTTTAGATTCTCAGTGCTGTGCTTTAACCCGCTGCGCCACCAGGGAGGGCCACTACTACATTTTTTTTATGTGATTTTATGTGAATAGTAACTTACTAATTCATCCACTTCATATATGATCTTTATTCTTAGAGATTGCACTTAGGTTGTGAAAATGATCAATCAGCAAAGTAGAAAACAAAGAGTTAGACTTTCTGGGAATTTAGAGGAGGAAGAGTATTTCCAGCTTGGAAAATATGGGAGCATTTTGTTAGCACATGACCAGGAGGTATTGGGGTAATTATTAAAGGGTGCATGCTTTAAAAGAAATTCTGCCAACTGCCTCACAGAGACAAAGGAAACAGACTATTAGTGTGATAGATCTTTAAGAGAATCAGTGTGCATAGAATGAGAAGAGAAGAAAGGAGAATCCTAAAAACGTTTCATAATAAAACATCCCAAACTACCCAGCTCCTTGTGGGCAAATGTCCAATCAAATAGGGTTGACCTGAAATGGGGTGGCTGAAGCCCAAAACTTGCCATAAAAATAAGATAGCTTCAGGTGGGAAACAGCCACAAAGGGTTAGGCAGGTTTGGGACAAAAAAGAGCAAAAAGAAAATGTAATTGAATCAAGGTAGTAGCTACCATTGTCTCCACCAGGGGCAACCTTCCCACGTGTCTCTTTCGAGTGCCTCTTTCTAGGTCTCTTCCCCAAGTGTCTGGGTGGACGTCAGAGCTGGAAAAGCAAGTTTTCTGTTATATAGCTTTACCTGCCTGCTCAGCTCTTCCAGTAGTTCTCCCTGCTCAGAAAATTTGGTTCATGGTACACAGGGGCCTTAGCTGCATGGAATGGGGGCGGGAAATGGCGTCCATTTGCCGTGTTGCAGTGCATCTCCCCTTCTTATGGAGATGCATCTGCACTACTTTCAGGGAAAGAGAAGATCTGGGCGGTCCTTGTGCATTTGGATATGGGGAAATCAGAGGGGCGGTAGACATAGGTGAAAAATACACTGAGGCACAGAGGTGAAGAAAGTACTGTGCATTGTGGGGGCTCCCCTTTTCTACTGCTCATGGGAACTGAGATGCCAAATAAGGTCACAGTCATAGATTTCTTTGGAAGAAAAGCCCATTAGTGTACATTCCTGCTAACATCCTGTCAAGTAGGGGGCCTGACAAACAGGATGTGTGAAAGGGATGTTTGGGCATATGGAAAGACCCACTGCAGCTGTAATGGCCCCTCCCTGACCACATGGTTTTAGGTCGGCCCCCCTCCCCCCCCTCCACCCCTGCGGACTATAGCCAGCACAGGCATCTACAAAGTTAAACGCGGATTGGTCCAGGACCAGGGCTGGTCCAGGGCTGCTTGCTACCCTGAGAAGCCTCTTTATTAACTTACCATGGAGTTTCAGATCTGTTTCTCTTCATTTCTTAACGGTGCTCACATATCAGAGGCAAATGTTTGGGAGCTTACTGTAACTTGCTAAATGACTTCTGCCATCTGCAGGAGCTCAGACATTGTGGAGGCTGGCTCTCACTAGCGGGGGCACACACTTTACTCTCACAGTTCCACATTGCCTTCTGTCAGTTTGCCACCAGTGTTAGGTTGGATGCTCAGAATCCTTTCCCTCTCCTCCATCTCCCCACGGGTGAGGACATGGCCATGCCATGTCACACTAAACCTCTTTCCCCAGTGCTTCAGCATCAGGCACGCCTTCCATTTGGGTTTATCTTGCTATTTGAATCTTGCTACCCTCTTTTACTGCTCTGGTTCCTGAGTTCATCGGACCTTGCCTTCTTGCAAGGTCATCGGATTGATTCTTTCTTTCTCGGGTTGATGCTGGGAAGTGATTTAGTAGAGAGAAGGAAGAAGGTTGCAAGTGAGTGAGAGACAATTAGGGAGAATAGTGAAGGAAGACTGGGAGTGACTTATCAGTAGAGGCCACAAAATGATAGACACAACATTTGCAATTATAGTGGGGATGAGGGTGAAGCAGCCCAGAGTGGATATTTCAAGAGAAAGGTCGGTTCTGTGGCACCATCATGTCACCTCAGTAACAAGAGAATCTTGCTTTCCTCAGGTGTCCTCATGACTTCTCTTGCGGACCATGTCCATGATCCTTTTTGCCTGTGTTGTAAGGGTGAGGGATGGACTACCCCTCTCAGCTTCCACTGACTTCTATCATGCTCAAGATTTTCTGGAATGCAGGAGACGGCTCAAGACTTTAGCCTCACGACTGGCCCAGTATCCGGGTCGGGGCACGGCAGAAGGTCTTCACTTCAGGATACAGTAAGGAAGCATTTTCAATTTTCCAGAACATCAGCAGAATGTGGGTTACTTTAGCCACCCGAGGAGGTAATATTGTGTTGATCACATTGTGCATTAAAAGTAGAACTAAGCACCAGACAATGGCTGTGTGTATATACAGTAGAATCACAGCATGACTGCTTGATGCCTGCTTTCTCTGACTGGAGTGTGCGGGAGAAACAGGACACCAGGTTCAACCAGCTTTCACGCTTTCGCTTTGGTAGTTTTCCTTGCTTTAGATGCAGAAATAGGAAAAAAGTGATGAGGGAGGAGATATTAAATTACAGTGTGGGAGAAGGAAAAGGGCATGGATGAGAACATTAAAAAAAGACGACATACAATTCTTGCCTTCAGCTTTTTGTTTAATTAAAATTTTTTTTTTTTGTTACGTGACAGGAGCAGGAGAGTGAAAATGAGCACAAGTGTGGTCTCTCGATTAGAGAAACTTCAAGTCTCGTGAGAGACCAAGTGAAGTGTATAGCTGAATATAATAGCAAGGGAGATGTAAGCAAGGGAGGAGTAAGACTCAGGAGCACACAATAACCATAGTAATCACAGCTGATGCTGTCTACGCCAGGCACGACCCAAGTGTTCCGGAGCTTCTGAGGTGGTTTAATACGGTTCTGTGTGTTTAACGGCAGAAACAGGCAAAGTGACTCACTTGAGATTATGCCATTAGTAGGTGTTAGAGCGGGGATTTGATTGCAGGCAGCTGGCACGAAGGTCTGTTCAGGTGTTTTGTCATTTCCTATTTCAGGGCTAAGAGCATGAAGCTAGTCATTCTGAAGTTTCTCTAATCGAGAGCAATGTGGGATTTTAAAGTATCAAAATGAACTTCTTACAGACTTTGCCTCATTCTTTTCCAGTATTTACACATCATTTACCAAGTCCCTTTTGTTCCCCTTGTGTAGCAAACTGAGGTGATCTACCAAGATGTAGGGTCTTTAAAGGGAATTCAGTCACCAAATCAGAAAAACCACTGAAAAAATCCAGGCCTGACTGTATACTCAGTGGTGGTGTCACGCAAGAAGGGGCCTGGCAAGAAAAGGGTCCCAGGGGCTGGTCCAGACAACATTCACCCTGTGGTGCTAAGGGGTAGGAACAGAGCTGCCTCTAACCACATTGATGATTCCTTTTACTGGGTGCCTGGTACCTACCTTCCTTGATGGCCCTTTCTTCCTTATGCTGTGACTAACTCACAGTCATGGAAATTACAAATAAAAAGCCTTTTCTTTGTTAAGAAAAAAAAACAAAGATTTCATATGCAGCTCATATGAAATCCTAGCTACTTCAGCCTTTTTTAAAATGGAGTTTTAAATTTCCTACTCATTTTTATTTTGAATTAAAGATTCAGCATTATTTTCACAGCAGGACATTTTTATCTTACATACAGGCGGTACCATAGCTTATTTTGTAGTTGAGGAGTTGAATTATTTTCCTAGGGCTGCCATAACCAAGTCCACAAACTGCTTAGACTGCAGAAATTTATGCTCTCTCAGCTCTGCAGTTCTGCAATTAAGGTATCGGTAGGGCTGTGCTCCCTCTCCAAGGAAGAAAACTCAGAAATATGTACATGGAAAGTTTATTTTAAATAAGTAGCTGAGGCCCTCCCTGGTGGTGCAGCGGGTGAGTGCACAACATTGCAAAGTTGGCTGTGGCTGCTTCAGTGCGAGTTCGATCCCTGGCCCTGGAGGTGACCCACATGGCGTGGCAGACCTCTCCTGACCTGTCTGCTGCTCCCCTCAGCAGTGTACTTCATTG